GAAACATGAATCACAGTGGTACAATACACAAATACAGAATTTAATCAACTTTGGGAGTATCCCAACTTCAGTTTTCAAGAAAAGTAAATGAAATAACCACATTGGGGAAAAAAACCTTTCTCTCTTTATGCCCCTGGAAAGCTACTGCCTATTAGAACAGTTCAGAAGTGGGCAGCAGAAAGTTTCTTACTCCAAATTGCTAAACAGTAGCAGCAACAAAATCTTTCCCAACCCCAAAAAAACTAGGTTGATACAATCTCTGACCTGCGGTACACGCAAGTCCTCCTACAGCAGTGGTTCTCAACCTTGGGTAACCCAAGTGTTCTTGGACTACAACTCCCAGAAACCTGAGCCAGCAGAGCTAATGGTGAAGGCTTGTGGGAGTTGCAGTCCAAGAACACCTGGGTTACCCAAGGCTGGGAACTACTGGCCTATAACATCAGCCTGACCAAGCATGGTCAATGGGAAAGAACCATGAGCCATGCAGTTCATCCCCATCTAGTGCTACACACAAATACATACCACAGCTCAATAAAATACAGTTAACTCATAAATCAAAATTGCTCCTACCAGCTGACTCATCTTGCAAAATATCAGAGAAGTTAAAGAAAAGACAAGGCTAGTGCACAAGGTGCAACTATCCTACTAAATTCACTCACTAACTTGAATTCAATAAGATCCTGTCACTAATGTAGATAAAAGTGGTGTAAATCCCTCGTTTTCAGCTCTGGGGACCTCAATACCATTGCTTTGTTATAACGGTAAAATGTTGATCTACTAATTGTAATCTAACCTTTCAGCTAAGTTAGCCCAGCTCGTCGTAAACTATTACCTTTTTTAGGTCAAACTCAGTTGACTTATTTTTCTGTCCTTAATGTTCAAAGAAAACAAGCAACATGAACAAATAAGATATAAGGAAACAGAAATTCAAATCCTTGGATCAGCCATACAGCTCGGGGAATGGTTTGGGCCTATAACTTCTGCATTTAAACCTACTTCACAGAGTTGATGCAAAAACAAAGCAGGACAGCCTTGTACATGTCACTCCAAGTTCAGTGGATAAGAGCAGGATGCCTGTGCAATATATACATATTTTAGCTTGTGACTGACCTCAGCCCCATTTCCTAGTTCACTAGGAGTCATGATTTCTCTTCCAAGGTCCTTCCTTCCCTTCCACCTCAGAATATCCTCTTTTGCTCTGGCTGTGTGAGGCACACTATACCTAGCTCTGTAAGATAATACTGCTCTCTAACTTCTCTGCCAAGGGTCAGACACCTTATATGCTATGGCACTAAAAATAAAAACAATGCAGAGGAAACACACCTTTACCCAGGTCAGCCAAGCTATTTCCAGTTCATTTACATCAGATGAGAAACTTATGACGATCTTCTACTTCAGGCAATGACAGGTTATCACACAGCCTAGGTTTCCAGGAAATGCTGAGTTTCCAGTATAGTCAAAAGCATTCAGAACTGTAACTGTTAACAGGTTTTTGTTTTTAAGCTTACCGGTGGTACATGCATTAACACATTTGCGATTCTGTGAGTACTGGAGACTGACCATATTTATCCATGGTCAGTCTCCAGTGAATTAACAAGAGCATTCTGTCTGCAATAAAAGTGGTAGGAAAGATGGCAGAGGGTTAAAAGGCTTTATGAAATTAAATGGGAGTGAAGATGAGAACATTCAGAAAACCTGGTCAGGTAACAGCAAAGAACAATTCCCCATTTTAAAATCTCCTACCAACTCTTTAACAGGAAAAAAAAGCACCAGTGGAATTTCTTCACTGTTTGCCTCTCAGTCTTCTGAAGCTCGTGTTTGCTTAATATCTGCCAAGGGTTAAAAGGCTTTATGAAATTAAATGGGAGTGAAGATGAGAACATTCAGAAAGCCTGAAGCTCGTGTTTGCTTAATATCTGCCACATATGCTCTAATTCACTTCCCCATTGTGAACCAACTTCCTCTATCAACCTTTATTTGCATGTTGTTTTTTTAAAAAAGAACTCTCAAGTAAAGGTAGACCAGCAGTGATTACAAACGTTTCCGCAGAACTGCAGGTTGCAGCTGATTTTGACAAGGATTGTCAGGCGCCTTCATGATAAGCAAGGGTTTGAGCTGAAAGTGGTAATAGCAACAGTGGTCTCTCCGTACCTCCATTACTGAGAGTCCAAGTCAAGCACCTGAAAAGTCTCTCTCAACACATACACAACATCACTTTGTCCAGATCCCAAATTAAACGAGGTACGAGGGACAAAAATCAACCTTAATAAAAAGCAGTTTTGTAGAGAAGGGTTACAAAAAAGTCAGATTCTGTGCTTGGATTGCACAAAACATACAATATGGTAGATTATTGCCTCTAATCTTTTTTTAAAGCATGTTTCCTTATTCTTTAGAAAAACTACAGATGGAAACAAATGATAACGTTTTATTAAAATGTAAGTGACAATGGAGATAACATTTCTCAGTCTGTCAGTACGAAAGCTCAAACTTCTCCAATGGAATTGATTTGGAACAGGATCAGAAAGAGTAAGAACTGGTATTTTCCCATAAAATGGTGTGTAAGATGAGCAGATTGTTTTTTTTAAAACCAATTGGAAAAGACTCAGAGACATTTGACTTCATCAGCTGCATTAAGCAGATGGGCAGTTTAACTCTGAACACCATGTACTAGAACCAACCAACGAAGTGCTCTACTGTGTACCTGGAAAGAGCAGGCTACATCACTGCTGGAAAGAGGATGCAGAAGTGGATGAACACACCCAGCAAGGGAATTCTTGTCCATTTCTGACAGATAATCCTGTTACTGTAAAAAGCCATGGACCCAGACTACTTTAAATATGACTTTGCTGAAAGCTAGTTATATCTAAAGCAAAGATGGGCAACTATAGATGTTATGTGACCATAACTCTCACCGTCCTGCACTTTTAGCTATGCTAGCTAGGGCTGACAGAAGTTGCAATCCAGTAACAGCTGGAGAGCTAGAGAAGTTGCCTACTCCGTGAATATTTCACAGTCCTGTGGCACACTGTACTGTGTAGAATAAAGAAAAAGTAAATATAATCAATTGCTGTATAAATACAAAATCAAGAGAATGCATACCTGCTGCTGTAGTACCATCTGATGTCTTAAGAAAATAAGTCACATGCAAAGCAACAAGGATGTTGATCCCACAGATGCAAAGCAAGACTGACAATTTACTCTATAAACTTCAGCAAAGTTTCAGTGGCACCTCTACAAAACCAGCCGCAGAGATACAGATGTACTGCAAATAAACAACAGTTAATGCCTTGCACAGTCAGAATTCCTTACAGTGCAGCTTATAGTTGCCCATATGATAGGGTGGTGCAGCATATGGAGGACATATGTAGCTATTTTAAGTTGATGGCATAACATGAAACAATATAATTAAACACTTCAGATTTGAGGACCTTATACATACAGACAAGGATATCAGCTCCACATTACGTATAAAAGGATTTGATCAAGGACACACACATATTTGCACTAGTGTATCTGCCCTGAGTTGAAGCTTACCATGTTCCTCGAAAATAAGATAGGGTCTTATATTAATTTTTGCTCCAAATAAAGCATTAGGGCTTATTTTCAGGGGATGTTTTATTTTTTCATGTATAAGAATCTACATTTATTCAAATACAGTCATGTCATCTTCTGGTTGCTACACAATGGTTGAGGGTGAGCTTTCACTTAACTAGGGCTTATTTTGGGGGTAAGGCTTATATTATGAGCATCCTGAAAAATCATACTGGAGCTTATTTTCAGGTTAGGTCTTATTTTCTGGGAAACAGGGTAGATCTATTGATTCTTTTGTGCCTTTGGTTTTAAAGAACCAATAATTAAATGAATAAGATAATTCATACAATGAGAATGCAAAACAGAAACCCAAAAACTAAACAACTTAGTAAGGAAACAAATGTATGGATAACCAAAGAAAGAAATCACTTAGTGTTTATTATACAAATGGTGGGGGGACAATGCCTGGTTTTGGAGATGCCTTTGCCAAGCACTGCCCATTTAAGGACAAAAGCAACACAGAGAATAATTATGCAGTATTAAGACATCCCCCACCCCATTCAGGATTCTGCATCCAACAGCCACAAAGACTGTTTTCTAGACACTCAGATTATCCTAGAACTAAAGCAGAAGTGTGCATGACCCACACTAGTTTTTTTCTGGCTGCGAAACTTGCATGGCACAGTTGTAAACTTTTAGAACTCGGAAAAGGAGTTTTGGATGAAGTCACAGGAAAATATCAGGCAGGCTGACGTTCTCGGGGAGGCTTTTAAAACTGGCAAACAAAAATATGCTCCACCAAAAGAGAGAGCGAGACAGAGCAAATAACAGCAGCGATGAACAAAACCTCCCCCATGCTTAAAATGAATGTTGCCTTCCAACAGGGTCCCAACACGTGTGTCCGTAACATGATCGGACATTATTCCAAGGAGTCTAATCATTTATCGAAACCCCTTTTGTCCTTCTACCCCAAGCGATTGTGTATGTGTGTGTGGGGGGGGGAGGTCCCAAGCCATCTAGCCACAGCATCATCCACTCCGCCACCCTCTTCCGTGGACAATGCCTCTGACAGATGACAATTGGGGGGGGGGGAGAGCGGGAAGACCTCCACCTCCACCACCACCTCCACCAGCAGCAGCGTGCGCAACATCGCAAGATAACTGGAAGGCGGCGAGCGCGGTTAACTTGGGAGACCACAGCCGGCGGGGGCTGGAGGAAGCCGGGCAGAAGGCTCCAAGCCGCACAGCTGGCTCCCCTCCGCCTCTTTCCTTTGCTCAACATCTGGAGAGCTTTATGTTTCCCCCCACTTCCTCCTTCCATTCCTCGCCTGCCCGCGCCCCAGCCCGCGCACGTTGACTTCTTTCTTCCTCCCTCAAGCCGAGAGAGCCTTTGTGTGCAAAGTCAGCGCGGGGGGTGAGGGGGCCGCGAGAGCGCGAGGCAGAGGCAGACAAAAAAAAGGAAGCCCTTACCTCGACTTTCAGCGGCTCGGTCCTCACAAGGAGGAGGAAAGAAAACTCAAGCTGCCTCCCAAAGCCTCCACGCCCGAAAGGTGCAGGTTGAGCCCCTCCTTGGGCAGCCCAGTCGGAGCGGGTGGCGGGCGGGAAGGGTTCTCCTCCTCCTCACCGCCCGGCGACTTACTTACTCGCCGGGTGGGTAGGTGGGCGGGCCGGCGAGCAAGCGCCTCTCCTCCGCCACCGCCAAAGAGCGAGCGAGCCAGCGCGCGCGCGCACCCGACCGCGAGCGCTGCCCGGGTACAGCCCTGGGACTCTCGCCTTGTCAGGGCTGCGGGGCGGAGCATGAGCTGGGGTTGCTGAGTCACGGGTTGTAGCCCCGCCCCATCCCGCCCCGCCCCCCTTTGCCTCGGCCTGCTGTCGGCTCGGGTGGAGAGCGCGGGGGGCTTT